AGACTGGGAGCACTACTCAGTGGCAGGCTGACTTAGCTCCAAAAGAAATTGCTGCCTTTGACATGAAACAGACGCCATGTGCAGCTGCTCCTAACATGGAGTACAAACGCTGCTCATCCTGTATCCCTGGATTAGGAGCCCTTACGGGGTACTATCAGCCGGGCCAGCTGAGCCCAGGCTTTTTAGCGAGCTTGTTACTGCTCCCCCTCCATCCATTCAGCCATTGTTGCTACCTAATTAAGGCCTTAACTAGCCATGAACAATAAAGATATAGGACTTGAACTTACATTCTGATGACACAATCTGTCTTCAGATAATTCGCAGCTATGGACCTACTCAACAAGAAGTGGGCCTTCATTCTATCTTTACCTTAGAGCTGCTCCCATGGATAATAAACAGAGATTTGTGACAAGTGCAGCACATGACAATGTTGTGTAAGTAAATGTCTCGTAGAGATTGTAGCAGATATGGTTGTGCAGGCATGCCTCAGTATGCTGATGCCATGGGAGGTTACATGATTGGAGGACACCCCATGATGGCTGCGGGGCCCCGACCCCCCTACTGAGCCCCCCTATACAATAAAACTTGGTTTTACTCCTAGTCCCAGCCTGTTTTGTCCAGGGTAGGCCCCCTTACTTCTTATATTCTCTCTTTGTCTCCCTGTAATTGAAGGGTAAGTGGTGGCTGTACCCCCATAGGGCAGGTATGTACCACTAACTCTCTTTGTTTCGTTATCTCTTCTTAACATTTTTTTTTCTTTCTTGTATCATTATTATTATTTTTCTCTTTTCAATTTTTTTTTTTTGTAATGCTTATATTATTTCAATAAAAATAAATATATTTTTCTTTTTTCACAAAAAATTTCCATCAGTTTATCTTTTTTTTTTTTTGGTAATGGTTGTTGAAGAATCGGAGGCACACGTAGGGTGATATTTTTCCTGACCAAAGGTGAGTTTTTGGGCTTGTTGTTGACAGAGCAAAGGTTAGTACTCCCCTCTTTCTCTCTCCCTATCTCAGCCAAGCCACAGGACGTCTCTACAAAGCCTTTCTTTTTGTTTGTTAGATCACCTCTCTTTGGAAAGCAATATAAAACCACATCGGGACAACTCATAACGAATTCTCCCAAACACTAGGCAAGTGGCATTTTTTTTGTTTTTTTAAAAGTTTTACCCCATATGCTTGTTTATATCATCATTCTTAAAAGAAATTTCACAGCATTCCTTGATGCTGTTGGACGTACTGTCCCCAACCTTACCATTGTTTAATGGGGGGGTTTGGCGAAATTCTTTCCCCATTGTTTATATTTCTAGCTTCAATTATTGTGTTTCTCTTTGATTGTCATCTTTGTTATTATTATTTTTATTCATTCACTCTGCTACTATCTTCGAATCACTATTTTTCTAAATTTTACAAAAAAGATTAGAGAATTTTTTTTTTTTCAGAAATTTAGAAACAACTATAAAAAAATATATATACAAACTCCCAAATTTTTTATTAATAATTAAAAAAAAAATTCAGTTTTTAGTAGATATATAATTAATGTTTTTTTTTTTAATATATATTATGTGTGTTTTTTTATGTATTTTTTTTTGTCATTTTTTTTCCACGACAAAAGGAAAAATTTGAATTTTTTTTTAGTTTTTCTCTGTTTTGTATATATATATATATTGTTTTTTTTTTCTTTTTTAAAGATACCTCTCACAATTTCATTAATTGAATAAAAAGTTGTTAATTCTGAATATATTTTGAATAAAAAATGTTTTCCCCCTCTCACTCTGCAAGTTCTCACATTCTACCACCATCAGCAGCATCCTGCCTGCGGTTGTTTGAATGTAAAACAATCTCCCACACCTCTTTTCACCACATTCTGCTGCTCTTATCTATGTGAATAAACCCAAGTTTTTAAAAAAATAAGACTCTTTCCTATCTATATCCAAGTACACATGGTACAGGCTATGATTTGTTTTTTGCTTACTTATCTCTATAGATGGAAAATTTGCCAGGAGGAAATTGATCCATAGAAGCATAGGGCGCCTCTCCCGTCAAAATAAACATCAAAACTTGACGCCATCTATTGACCGTCGCCGCAACTAGCGGCCTCAGGTCGGTGACAAAGCCACAACACCAGCTTTGGCAAACTGAGAAGCGTCCACCTAGAGACCATGGTTTCGGGCTAATGGCCCTCGTCAGTCTAGGGAGGACTTTATTCCATGAGATCCACACGGTATCTAATGGAATCTCGACAATCTACCAAAGAGCTGTCCATAAATGGCGTTTATTTTGACGGGAGAAGTGCCCTAGGCTTCTATGGATCAATTTCCTCCTGGCAAATTTTCCATCTATATTCTAGCCATAGATTTGGCCCAGCTACCTTGCAAGCAAAACACCTCTTTGGTAGATTGTCGAGATTCCATTAGATACCGTGTGGATCTCATGGAATAAAGTCCGCCCTAGACTGACGAGGGCCATTAGCCCGAAACCATGGTCTCTTGGTGGATACTTCTCAGTTTGCCAAAGCTGGTGTTGTGACTTTGTCACCGACCTGAGGCCGCTAGTTGCGGCGACGGTCAATAGATGGCGTCAGGTTTTGACGTTTATTTTGACGGGAGAGGCGCCCTATGCTTCTATGGATACTTATCCCTAGTACATGTAGTACAGGCCATGATAATCATGGTGGGTGGTTAGCGCCACTTTTACTGTAAGTACACCACATGTAAACAGGCTATAATAATCATAGTAAGAGTGGCTACCACATAAATGTGCACACTATATTATATTCATTTGTAAGAACAAAACCTGGGTTCAGCTGGCCCGGCTGATAGTACCCTGTAAGGGCTCCAGGGATACAGGATGAGTCTGTACTCCTTGTTGGGAGCGGCTGGCTGCACATGGCTTCTGTTCCTCATGTCAGAGGCGGCCATTTCTTTTGGAGCTAAGTCGGCCTGCCACTAAGTAGTGCTCCCAGTGTTAATGACAAAGGCAGACACATTCTACTTCACACAGTCATGATGGTTATCAAACAAGCTTGATACCTTAATATGATTGAGTGGAGATAAGAAAGAAGATTTGTAAGAACTTTACACTGGTAGAAATTGGATTTGGTCTTATTACCTTGTGTTTATAATCTACTAGCCGAATGACCCGGGCAACGCCCGTGTTTTACCAGATTGAATGTTTTTATTCAAATACTATTTGTTACAATTATAAATTGGCGCCTTAAATAAATGCATATCCTAATCAATCAGTCATAGGCCGCCTCTGTCACGGATGGCCGGCGCCCTCCTATTGGACGGCTACGATCACGTGTCATCGTTGGCGCGTAGGTGACCTTGAGTGACGTAATGCCCCCCCCTGCCGGCGGCGCGCGCCCGTTGGCTGCCGGCGAGCATGTGACCTCCCTGTGCGTGCATCCGTGACAGAGGCGGCCGGCCAATGACTGACTGATCAGGAAAGACTCTCGTGACTATATATATATATGTATGAGTACATTTTGTGTAGAAATAGGATTAGTTGACTTTATAAGGTAAACTTATTCATACAGTTTGTATCCCTCGATAGCTCAGTTGGCAGAGCGGAGGACTGTAGATGTTACAACGGTAATCCTTAGGTCTCTGGTTCAAATCCTGCTTGAGGGAGTTTTATTTTTAAATTTTTATTGGCTGCCGGCGAGCACATGACCTCCCTGTGCGCGCGCATCCATGACAGAGGCCGATGAGGAAAGACGGTCGTGACTATATATAGGGATAATCCAAATTGTGCCTTATCAAATCTTATTTTCATATAGAAAAAAAAAAAAAGAGGAAAAGCAAACCTCAGAAAGAAACACAATATAGTTTATTCCAAAACAAAAGGAATAAACATTGTTCCCCTGTCTTATAATTTAATAAAATCCATAAAGAATCTAGGGCTAAGTTTCTTGAAAGACCTCTAGGAAAACCCCAGGACTATAATAGAAAAGCTGAGACAATGGAACCTAATGGAGATTGTTTAAACGACTTGAGGAATAAGCAACAAGTTTCTTGTACAATATCATTTCTCTAACTTTCAGGCTTACATGTCCTTCAACTGAAGCAACTAGGAGTATAACTTCTAGCTAACTATAGAGTACAGTTAAACCTGTCTATAGCGCCCCTCTTGGGACTCACCAAAATAGGGTGCTATAGACAGGTTACTTTTAATGTAAATCATATCGTACTACGTATTTAAAATCGGGCGCTATAGAGAGGGAGGCGCTATTTAGAGGGGGCGCTATAGACAGGTTTAAGTGTACTATAATAATAATACTAGAAAACTATAGTTAGCTAGAAGTTATATACTCCTAGTAGCTCCTGTTGAAGGACATGTTAGCCCTAAAGGTGGAGAAATAAAATTGTACAAGAAACTTAGCTTTGGATGCTTTATGGATTTTATTTTTATTTTTTTTTTGCTTATCCCTAGTACACATGGTACAGGCCATGATAATCATGGTGGGTATTTAGCGCCTGCTTTTTACTCTAAGCGCACCACATGTCTACACATGTGAAAAGCAGTTCAACTTTGCACTTACAAATGTGCCAGAGTCCCGTTTGGTTACTTGCACTCGCTGGTGGGGTTGGACTTTTGCAAGAATCGGGGGCCATTGGAGCATTTTAAATTTTTTTTTTTAACAGAAAAAAGTGTCCAATGCGAGAATCGAACCCGGGTCGTAGTGGTCAAAAACCAACCTTCCACTGAACCCCCTTGATTTTATAAAAAAAAAAAAAAAAAATTTTTAGCTTTATTAAGAAGAGGTGGCCATTTTTCTATTTTTAATTTTATTGGTTTACTTATTCCTTTAGATTTTATTAAAAAACAAAAGGAATAAGTAGACCAATAAAATGAAAAATAGAAAAATGGCCACCTTCTCTCTTAATAGATCTAAAAAATAAAAGTATTTTTGGGACTGTTTTACAAATATATTTTGAACTTTATGTAGTTAATTATAATTGTGAAGAGAGTAATGATAAACAGAAAAATAAAGTGTCTAGAGATGGGAATCGAACCCACAGTGTTCCGCTTACTGGGCAGATGTCATGTCCACTAGGCTACCCTAGACATATTTTTCTGTTTGTAAATATTTTCGTTTATCATTACTATTCACAATTCATCCTTTCATACTTCATGCCTAAGGTTAGAAATAATTGTTATTTCTCCTTAAAATAAATTTCCATTTTTTGTTCAAAAGAAACATGTGGGATAATTTCAAATGTCGTTCTACAATCATAAACCGCATTATATTGTATTATATATTATGTTTTACTTAATTTTTGATGTATTCTCTTAATGACATATGCCACCTTAAAACCCTCACTTTTATTTAAGGCATGTCTTTATGTAGATTTTAGCCTTCAACTTGCTCACTTGCGATGTAATGCAGTTATTTGGAACTATTTTAAATATAAGGAATCTCTTCAATTTACACCATTACAAGAGATTTACAGTGGAGTGAACCCAGGAGGAGCTCTGAACATCAGAAATAGACAGCATCAAACAACACTAACAAGATTTAGAACAGGCCATCTCAAGCCATTGAAGTAGAAAATAAAAACAAAATCTACGCCACTTACCCAAAATGTAGCTTGGCACCTGCAGCTCCAGAACACATTTTGGCTTGTATTAGATGCACTAAACAGGACCTTTGGGAGAGGCCGCTGCTCATCATAAAACAGCTGGAGGAGCATGAACTCATGGAATTGGTGTAATCTTTACACAAGAGGATAAGAAACAACAACAACACTGTCTATAAACAGCTGGAGGAGCATGAACTCATGGAATTGGTGTAATCTTTACACAAGGGGATAAGAAACAACAACACTGTCTATAAACAGCTGGAGGAGCATGGACTCATGTAATTCATGTAATCTTTGCACAAGAGGATAAGAAACAACAACAACACTGTTTATAAACAGCTGGAGGAGCATGGACTCATGTAATTCATGTAATCTTTGCACAAGAGGATAAGAAACAACAACACTGTCTATAAACAGCTGGAGGAGCATGGACTCATGTAATTCATGTAATCTTTGCACAAGAGGATAAGAAACAACAACAACACTGTTTATAAACAGCTGGAGGAGCATGGACTCATGTAATTCATGTAATCTTTGCACAAGAGGATAAGAAACAACAACAACACTGTCTATAAACAGCTGGAGGAGCATGAACTCATGTAATTCATGTAATCTTTGCACAAGAGGATAAGAAACAACAACAACACTGTTTATAAACAGCTGGAGGAGCATGGACTCATGTAATTCATGTAATCTTTGCACAAGAGGATAAGAAACAACAACAACACTGTCTATAAACAGCTGGAGGAGCATGGACTCATGTAATTCATGTAATCTTTGCACAAGAGGATAAGAAACAACAACAACACTGTTTATAAACAGCTGGAGGAGCATGGACTCATGTAATTCATGTAATCTTTGCAAAAGAGGATAAGAAACAACAACAACACTGTTTATAAACAGCTGGAGGAGCATGGACTCATGTAATTCATGTAATCTTTGCACAAGAGGATAAGAAACAACAACAACACTGTTTATAAACAGCTGGAGGAGCATGGACTCATGTAATTCATGTAATCTTTGCACAAGAGGATAAGAAACAACAACAACACTGTCTATAAACAGCTGGAGGAGCATGGACTCATGTAATTCATGTAATCTTTGCACAAGAGGATAAGAAACAACAACAACACTGTTTATAAACAGCTGGAGGAGCATGGACTCATGTAATTCATGTAATCTTTGCACAAGAGGATAAGAAACAACAACAACACTGTCTATAAACAGCTGGAGGAGCATGGACTCATGTAATTCATGTAATCTTTGCACAAGAGGATAAGAAACAACAACAACACTGTTTATAAACAGCTGGAGGAGCATGGACTCATGGAATTCATGTAATCTTTGCACAAGGGGATAAGAAACAACAACAATAAGATATTCTAAGGTGTAGATTAAAGATATTCTCTGAAAGCTCACTTTTTTTATACTATTTTATAGCAATAAACGAATTTGATGCATTTTTGAAACTTTGTCTTTATCATTTGTTCCTCTCCTTTGATATCCTTAACAATTGTCCAAAAATTCCAATTGTTAATTCCCAATTGGATAAGAGTTAAAATCATGCGTCATTAACTGTGCTATTTATTTGTGTGTAAATAAATTAAAATAATATTTTGTTTGTAGACTTAAATAAACTTTTTATTTATATTTTTTTTATGAGAAATTTGTAGTGAGTTTTTTTGCAATTTTCAATTCGTTATTTAAAGTACCTGCAAATAAATCAAGTTGTGGCACAAAAAAAAATTTCTATTTTGGACAAAGATTACACGAATTCCATGAGTTCATGCTCCTCAAGCTGTTTTATGATAAGCAGCAGCCTCTCCCAAAGGTCCTGTTTAGTGCATCTAATGCAAGCCAAAATGTGTTCTGGAGCTGTAGGTGCTAAGCTACATATTTGTTGTTAGCATCCAAGTCAAGTTTGACTTTTGCTGACCATATGGACAAATATTCTCCAATTAAGAGTAAATATTTGAATTACAAGAGAAGGAATCGTCTGACATCATCTTGAAGAAGGAATAAAAGTTACGGCGGATGAGTTTCTTCTATTAAAGCTGTAATACAATATAATACACTGCGACCTGTGATTGTAAAACGACACTTGAAGTTACACCGCATGAGTTTCTTTTAAACGAAAAATCAAAATTTTATTTCAAGGTGAAATATCGACGATTTCTAACCTTTTTGGATGAGGTATGAAAGGATGAATTATGAAGAGTAATGATGAACGGAAAAATAGGTTAGAAAGGTTAGAAATCGTCGATATTTCACCTTGAAATAAAATTTTGATTTTTCGTTTAAAAGAAACTCATGCGGTGTAACTTCAAGTGTCATTAAAGCTGTAAATTCGGCAACGGCAAGCTTTCAGACTTTTTCTTCTGAAAAAGTTGCCTGTCGAAGGACATCAAAGTCCGAAAGCTTGCCGAATTTACAGCTTTAATAAAAGAAACTCGTCCACCGTTAACTTTTGTTTCTTCTTCAAGTAAATATTTGGTCCATATAGTTTTCTCAGCAGTGCTTGATATGGAAGTGGTTTGCCTTCTTCTGTGCCCCAAGGACAAGAGAGTGTATCCTTCTTCATTACAAGAATTAAGATGAAAGCTTATCCCGGCTTTTATTCAGTCTCCTTTTGTGTTAGCCATCCCATTAGGATATTCTGTTCTCTACCAGAATGGTAATCAGAAATAGAAACAGTAGCCAAAACAAAAATAAACAAGAATATCCCATAATAACATCCCACATCCCAAATAAACAAGAAGATCCCACCTAAGCACAGTTGGTACAGTGGAGTGAACCCAGGAGGAGCTCTGAACATAAGAAATAGACAGCATCAAACGACACTAACAAGATTTAGAACAGGCCATTGAAGATAGAAAATAATAACAAAATCTACCTCACTTGCCCGAAATGTAGCTTGGCACCTGCAGCACCAGAACACATTTTGGCTTGTATTTAGATTCAGTAAACAGGACCTTTGGGAGAGGCCGCTGCTTATCATAAAATACCTCAAGGAGCATGAACTCATGGAATTTATGTAATCTTTACACAAGGGGATAAGAAACAACAACAGAGTTGTAATCACACTGGGAGGTACAAATAGGTGTTTTCTATTCATTGGGATTGAGACAAAATGGCATTTCTCTAGGAAACTCACTGAAAGTCGCTAACAAAGTTAGAAGATTAGAAACTGAAAACATTATTGGATGAAGACAATGCTCAAACACAAGAACAGTTGGCGGCTTCTTTTGATGTCCCATAACAGGCCGTTTCACTTTGTTTGCATGCTATGGGAAAGATCTAGAAGGCAGGAAAATTGTTGCCTCTTGAATTGAGTGAAAAGAACAAGGTTGATAGGCACAATTTGGATTATCTATATATATATGTAGTATATTTTGAACTAGATAGATCACAACCTTCTTCTAATATTTATTATAACCCATATCTATATAAAATATGTATCGAACAATGGAAGTGACAAATAAAACAAAGAGGACGAGGTAGACCAGACGACGCAATAACCCAGACGAACAGGTGTTTATGATAATGAGTTCAATCACCCCGTCAACAGGTGGCCAGACGTGATAAACAACCCGGCGCCTGACAGGTGGCGTGATTATGGGAGCCAATCAGAACTCGCCAACATATGCGGGCGTCTCATATAAAAGCCCCCCAAGATGGGACAAAAGTTAGTTGTTCAGTTAGCTGTTTTCAGAGCGACGCCGTTATACGGTCAGTTGGACCTCTCACCCCCCTTCTATCCGCGGCGCCCGTGGTCCGCTGCCTTCGTCCGTGGTCTACCTCTACCTTCTTGGAGTTACCATCTAGACTTGCCTCTGTCTCTTGCTGTCCCAGTGCAGGAATCCCATCACGCACCCACTACCACGACTGCCCAGCACATTCCACATCGGGGTTACTACATATATATAAATGAATGTATGTGTGTTTGTCTGTCCTTTATGCCTGACCAAACCACTCATTTGAATGCCATGAAACTTTGGGAAGTTATTTAGTATAGTACTGGGAAGGTTTCTAGCAAATAAAATTTTTGAAATAACTTTTCGCCTGAAAATAATCAAGATAAATATTCTAATTTATCTGTTATAATTCAACAATCTGCTCTAAATATTATCATGATTACGATGATTTTGTAATGTAGAAAATTAGGAAAGACAAAATTCAGGATGACACAGCAATTTATTTGAGACAAGAATAACGATACAATTCCAAGGCAAGATACTATTCCTTTAACTTCCAATTACCGAGGGAACCAATTAATATTGATTTTATTCAACTTATTGAGTATTTTTCAAGGGACCGGGAAAAAATGTTCACTTTATCGAGAGATTCGTTAAACAAACCTTTACTTGGGTAAAACCCGGGCGAAGCTGGGTACATCTATACAAGAATAATGATACAATTCCAAGGCAAGATACTATTCCTTTAACTTCCAATTACTGAGGGAACCAATTAATATTGATTTTATTC